GCTGATTCTAGGCCAGCTCCTGACATTTTACCCAGTGAACAAAGTCCTACTTAGTCTAAGGTTAACATACTTTCCTTCAACAAACAGAAAAACTATGTAGCACTTTAAAGACTAACAAGGTGATCACCTATTAAACCACCTTGTTAGTCTTTGAAGTGCTACATAGCTTTTCCTTTAGTTTTATTAAGATCTGACTAACACAGCTACCTCTCTATTACTATACTTTCCTTCAAGCATTCTTTTATAACCCTCTGATTTGACTCTGTCACAATACCCACACTAAAATACTGTTATTATGATGTGTATGTGACTTTGGCCAGTTAGGATTACTATTACATGTATTTAGTCCCCAAACTTTAACAGGCAATCATGTTTTTCCTTTAGTGAGAAACCCAATGGCTATGTCTATACTACATGCTTCTTGCGCAAGAAGGCTGTGTCTAGATTGGCATGATTTTGTGGACATGCTTTTAACGGAAAAGTTTTCCGTGAAAAGCATGTTTGGAACAGAGCATCTAGATTGGCACAGATGCTTTTCCACAAAAGCACTTTTTGCGGAAAAGCATCCATGCCAATCTAGACGTGCTTTTCCGCAAAAAAGCCACAATCGCCATTTTCGCAATCGGGGCTTTTTTGAGGAAAACAAATCTGAGCTGTCTACACTGGCCCTTTTGTGTAAAAGCTTTGTACAAAAGGGATTTTTGCCTGAACGGGAGCAGAATAGTATTTCTGCAAGAAGCACTGATTTCTTACAGTAGAAAGTCAGTGCTTTTGCGGAAATTCAAGCGGCCAGTGTAGACAGCTGGCAAGTATTTCTGGTAAAGCAGCTGATTTTCCGGAAAAACTGGACAGTCTAGACACAGCTGAACTCTTTTGCTCAAGAGTTCTTGTGCAAAAGGTCTTCCACAAGAGTGCGTCTACACTATCATACGCGAGCGTCCATGGCAGTGTAGAAGCCCTTTGTTCCAATGCTGTACTGTAAATTTACTTGCGCAAGAATGCGTGTGTAGTTTAGACACACAGCAAGTTTTTGTGCAAGAACAGCTGTTCTTGTGCAAAAAGCCTGCAGTGTAGACGTAGCATTAAAGTGTACACTTAATCCTGCATGATGTTTTGATATTACATTTCTTTGAGGAAATCTGAAGTAGGATGCAAGATCAAAGAAAGGACAGATGACTACACTGGAGAAAATTGAGAGAAAGATGGAGGAAAAACCGTAGTCTCAGATATACACTCAAACATTCTCTCTATTACATAAGAACATAAGAATGGCCATGCTGGGTCAGATCAAAGGTCCATCTAGCCCAGTAGCCTGTCTGCCGACAGTGGCCAGCACCAGGTGCCCCAGAGAGGGTGGACCGAAGACAATGATCAAGTGATTTGTCTCCTGCCATCCTTCTCCAGCCTCTGACAAACAGAGTCTAGGGACACCATTTCTATCCCCTAGCTAATAGCCTTTATTGGACCTAACCTCCATGAAATTATCTAGTTTCTCTTTAAACTCTGTTATAGTCCTAGCCTTCACAGCCTCCTGTGGCAAGGAGTTCCACAGGTTGTCTACATGCTGTGTGAAGAAGAACTTTCTTTTATTAGTTTTAAACCTGCTTCCCATTAACTTCATTTGGTGTCCTCTAGTTCTTCTGTTATGGGAACTAATAAATAACCTCTCTTTATTCACCTTCTTCACACCATTCACAATTTTATATACCTCTATCATATCCACCCTCAGTCTCTTCTTTTCTAAACAAAAAAGTCCCAGCTGTTTTAACCTCTGTTCATATGGGACCCATTACAAACCCCTAATCATTTTAGTTGCCCTTTTCTGAACCCTTTCCAAAGCTAAAATATCTTTTTTGAGGTGAGGAGACCACATCTGTACACAGTATTCAAGATGTGGGCGTACCATAGTTTTATACAGGGGCAGTAAGATATTCTGTGTCTTATTTTCTATCCCTTTCCTAATAATTCCTAGCATCCTATTTGCCTTTTTGACCACCTCTGCACACTGTGTGGAAGTTTTCAGAGAACTATCCACGATAACTCCAAGATCTCTTTCCTGATTTGTCATAGACAAATTAGCACCCATCATATTACCCATTGATACCTATAGCTATATCTATACTATGGCATAAGGTTGAATTAAGAAATGCAACTTCAGCTACATTAATTATATTAATTATGTAGCAGAAATCAAAGTACCTGAACTTGACTTTCGGTGCTGTCCGCACTGCAGGAAGTGAAAGGGAGAGCACGCTTCCTTCAACTTCCCTTACTCCTCATGGAATCACGACTACCATCATTGACCGGAGTGCTTCTCTCAATTCAAATTAGCTTGTCTTCACTAGATCAGCTAATTCAAATCTTGGAATATTGACAGATCTTCTTTGTAGTGTAGACGTGCCCTATGTGAATGCTTAGGGGTCTACTTTGGCCCCAAATAACTGCTTATTTTTTAATAAGGAATATTTGATCACATATATTTATTCTTAGTCTTGGGTTAGTACAATTATGGAAAAATTAGAAATACAGCATGGGCCAAAAACTCTAATATAAATTGAGCTCACTTATACCAGTGATTAGATATTTAGTATAATATCTTTATTAAGGATTTTGAGATAATACGTGTGAACTGATGGATATCTTCTAGTCAGAAGGCATTTCTTTAAAGTTTTCCAACTGATTAGTCTGTGAGTCAGATGCAATCTTTGCATAAATCTAATGTGGTGTGTGAGTTTGTGATGAAACTTAATTTTGTTTTTATTGTGTAGTGTACTTATAGTATTTTTTCAATTTTTCTGTATTTAATGTTTTATCATAGAATTGCAGGACTGGAAGGGTACGTCTAAACTACATGCCTCCATCGACGGAGGCATGTAGATTAGTCAGATCGGCAGAGGGAAATGAAGCCGCGATTAAAATAATCGCGGCTTCATTTAAATTTAAATGGCTGCCCCGCTCTGCCGATCAGCTGTTTGTCGGCAGATCGGGGCAGTCTGGACGCGACGCGCCGACAAAGAAGCCTTTCTTGATTGGCACAGGTAAACCTGGTTTCACGAGGCATACCTTTGCCAATCAAGAAAGGCTTCTTTGTCGGCGCGTCGCGTCCAGACTGCCCCGATCTGCCGACAAACAGCTGATCGGCAGAGCGGGGCAGCCATTTAAATTTAAATGAAGCCGCGATTATTTTAATCGCGGCTTCATTTCCCTCTGCCGATCTGGCTAATCTACATGCCTCCGTCGACAGAGGCATGTAGTTTAGACACACCCGAACGGACCTCAGTAAGACATCTAATCTAGTCCTCTGCACTCATGGCAGACTAAGTATTTTCTAGATCAGTGTTTCTGAAAGTGTTCCATGGATTCACTTGAGAAACACATTAACTTGATACCCTGGTTTGTTTATTTACTGGCGCCACAGAGCCATGGAGCCTCACAGCTCCCATTGGCTCTGTTTTGCTCTTTGCAGTCAAGTGGAGCAGCAGGAAGAGGTGGACGAACCCATGCCACTTCCCGCAGCTCCCCTTGGCTGCAAAGTAAATAAACAAACCGGGGTGTCTAGTTAATGTTTTTCTCAAGTGATTTCGTGAAGCATGTTCAGAAACACTGATCTAGATCATCCTTGACAGGTGTTTGTCTAACCTGCTATTAAAAATCTCCAATGATCAAGGTTCCATAATCTCTCTAGATAATTTATTTTAGTCCTTACCTGTCCTGACAGTTAGGAATATTTTCCTAATAATCAACCTAAACCTCACTTGCTGTAATATAAGCCCATTCCTTCTTGTCCTATCCTCAGAGGTTAGAAAGAACAATATCTCCCTCCTCCTTGTAATGGTCTTTTATGTAGTTGAGTGTGCCCTCTGTCTTTTCTTCTCAGACTTCCTTTCTAGATCATGTTTTCTAGTCCTTTCATCATTGTTGCTCTTCTCTGAACTTTTCCCATTTATTCTGAAATGTATCTCGCAGAACTGGATGAAATACTCCAGTTGTGTCCTAATCAGTGGGGAATAAAGAAGAAGAAGGTAACCTAGTGACAGATGATGTGGGGAAACCTGAAGTACTTAATGCTTTCTTTGCCTCTGTATTCACGGACAAGGTGGGCTCCCGGACTAATGCACTAAGTGACACAAGATGGGATGAAGATGAACAGCCGTTTAGAAAAGCTAAACGTACACAAATCCATGGGTCCAGACTTAATGCATCTGAGGGTACTGAGGGAGTTGGCAAATGTCATTGAGGAGCCTTTGGCCATTATCTTTGAAAAGTCGTGGAGATAGGGAGTTACCCTGGATGACTGGAAAAAGACAAATGTAGTGCCCATCTTCAAAAAAGGAAAGAAGAACAATCCAGGGAACTATAGGCCAGTCAGTCTTACCTTGGTTCCTGGAAAAATCATGGAAGGGATCTTTAAGGAATCCATTTTGAAGCACTTGGAAGAGAGGAAAGTGATTAGGAATAGTCAGCATGGATTCACAAAGGGCAAGTCGTGCCTGACCAATCTGATTAGCTTCTATGATGAGGTAACTGGCTCTGTGGACATGGGAAAGTCAGTGGATGTGATATACCTTGACTTTAGCAAGGCTTTTGATACGGTCTCCCACAATATTCTAGCCAGTAAGTTAAGGGAATCTGGATTAGATAAATGGACGATAAGATGGATAGAAAACTGGCTAGAAGGCCGGGCCCAACAGGTAGTGATCAACAGCTCGATGTCAGGATGGCGGTCGGTTTCTAGTGGAGATCCCCAAGTTCTAGGACCGGTTTTGTTCAATATCTTTATTAATGATCTGAATGAGGGGATGGATTGCTCCTCAGCAAGTTTGCGGAATACACTAAACTAGGGGGAGAGGTAGATACACTTGAGGGCAGGGATAGGGTCCAGAGTGACCTGGACAGATTAGAGGATTGGGCCAAAAGAAATCTGATGAGGTTCAACAAGGACAAGTGCAGAGTCCTGCACTTGGGACAGAAGAATCCCAAACATTGTTACAGGCTGGGGACCGACTGGCTAAGTAGTAGTTCAGCAGAAAAGGACCTGGGGGTAACAGTGGATGAGAAGCTGGATATGAGTCAACAGTGTTCCTTTGTAGCCAAGAAGGCTAATGGCATATTAGGTTGCATTAAGAGGAGCATTGCCAGCAGATCCAGAGACTGGAGAGGTCACATCTGGAGTATTGTGTCCAGTTCTGGGCCCCCCACTACAAAAAGGATTTGGACGCATTGGAGAGGGTCCAGTGAAGGGCAACCAAAATCATTAGGGGGCTGGAGCATATGACCTATGAGGAGAGGCTGAGGGAGTTGCATCTGTTTAGTCTGCAGAAGCAAAGAGTGAGGGGGGATTTGATAGCAGCTTTCAACTTCCTGAAGGGAGGTTTCAAAGAGGATGGGGAAAGGCTGTTCTCAATAGTGATGGATGGCAGAACAAGGAGCAATGGTCTCAAGTTGTGGTGGGAGAGGTCCAGGTTGGATATTAGGGAAAACTATTTCACTAGGAGGATGGTGAAACACTGGAATGGGTTACCTAGGGAAGTAGTAGAGTCTCCATCCCTAGAGGTGTTTAAGTCTCGGCTTGACAAAGCCCTGGCTGGGTTGATCTAGTTGGGATTGGTCCTGCCTAGAACAGGGGACTGGACTTGATGACCTCCTGAGGTCTCTGTCAGCTCTATGGTTCTATGATTCTAAGAATTACTTATTTTGTCTTGCTCGCAATACTCCTGTTAATGTATCCCAGAGTGACTGCTTGTTTTGCAACAGTGTTTATCTTATTTTAATGATGCTTTGTTTTGCAATATAGTGACAAAATAGGCCATAAATTACTGCTATATTTTTACAGTGAGGAAGTGTTTACCAGTACAAGCACCAGAAAATGGAAAAATCCTTGCAACAGGTGTATATGAGGTGGACGAAGAATATTCCTTTGGCCAAGTCATACAGTTTCAATGTAATGAAAACTATAAACTTTCCGGAGCTAAAGAAATACATTGCTCAGATAATGGAAATTGGAATGCTCATGTACCTACATGCATAGGTGAGAAGAAAATATGTATTTTTAGTTTAGTGACATTTCTCTTTAGCCAAGATGATCTGAGTTTACAGCTGATGCTCTTATAATGGCACTTACAAATTCTTATAAATTGATTATTGTACAGGAGTGTTACGGAACTAGCAAAATATTTTCAGTTACAACACGTAAAATACTTAACTGATGTATTCATCTTCATTGTTTGATATGTGTAAATTCAGCAAAATAATCTAGGAAAATAGAATAATTTTGTCAGAAAAGAATCATCTAATCATAATAGAGTCATCTAATCATTCTCCAATTTTCACTGGAACCTTAACAAAAATGCTCCATAAGGCATATTTGAATAAATGGATCAGGAAAGTACTTATAACTGAGGATATTCATTAATTATTTCCTAATCCTAATACTATCTTGTTGACAGTTGATCAACTAGATAGTTGGCTTTTTGAGCCAAAACTAGTGTGTGGGAGTGAGATTAATTATATTCCTGCCTAAATACCAAACAGATATTGTAGCCTAATTTCCAGTCAAATCCACCTAGCTTTTCAGAATGTTGTGTTGAATTTTGGTTGTATACTCTGCAGGGCAAAAACTGGGGCCTTATTTGTTTTGTAAGGAATATAACACAGATTTAGGAACTTAGCAATAACTCACAAACTTGTAGATGGAATATAAAAAGGATGGGCCCATTTCTCTTTCTTGTTGCACAGATTTGGAAAAGTCCACTTCACATCTTTCCACCTCCCATGGGTGCTGAAATATCAGGGCATGCTAAATTCTTTCATTTCTTAATTTGGTGGGTCGAAGTCCCTCCACAGAAATACAGGAAGTGGCATTCTTCAGTACCTAAAATGCTAAGTGTTTCTTTTTCACTTCTCCTGAAAAAGGCTATGTCTACACTAGCCCCCTAGTCCGAACTAGGGAGGCTAATGTAGGCATTTGAAGTTTCAAATTAAGCCCAGGATTTAAACATCCTGGGCTTTATTTGCATCTTCCCGTGCAAAAAATTGTGCCTGCACGGGAAGATGAAAATAAAGCCCAGGATATTTAAATCCCAGGCTTCATTTGCAACTTCAAATGCCTACCTTAGCCTCCCTAGTTTGAACTAGGGGGCTAGTGTAGTCATACCCATACTGCTTAAGACAGAGCACTCCTATCATATTTCATTTCTAGGTTATGTCCATGCATGAACTTGGAGTAAATGGCTAGGTTTGGAAATTAAATTAATCAGCTAGTGTTTTGGGAAATTATACAGGTTTAGCAATTAAGGAAATTAATCTTTCCCCTGTGAAGAGAACAACACATATAGGATTAGTTTATATGTAATAAGCTTTTTTAATTACTATTTTGTCACATTTCCATTTCATTGCTACCTAGCCTTTAAACATTTACAGACTAACCTGCAAACAGAGTTTGAATCTATATGGGTATGTCTACACTAGCTCATATCCCAGGCTTTATTTGCATGTTCCCATCCGGCTGCCATTTTTAAATCCCCCTTAGTTCAAATGAACTGCCAGCTGCTACACGCGGCAGTTTAAAGTTAATCTGAACTAAGTCCTTAGTTCGGATTAACTCTTACACCTCATTCCACAAGGAGTTACAGTTAATCCGAACTAAGGACTTAGTTCGGATTAACTTTAAACTGCTGCATGTAGCCACAGGCAATTCGTTCGAACTAAGGGGGATTTAAAAATGGCGGCCGGA